TTAACCGACTCTCTATCTCCAGTAATTTCCGAGATAGGTACCCATAGAGAACATCGTAGGAAACTCTCCCAGAAATAAGTGCAAGTATTTTAAGGGGTGGTAGATCTCGATTAAAGAAACATATTTTCTCTTGGTCGTTTTTCAAATAAGTTCAAAATAACGGAGTTATTATATATTTATAAGTTGTACTTAAGATATGATGTAAAGCAGTACGATGATCTAACAAAGGAATTGGATAAATTCGATATAAAGTATACTCTTCAGGTTCAACTAAAGGTATATTTAGAACAAATACTATTTTAGAATCTAATTGATAAGCTTTCAATTCGATAATATCTAGATACTGAGATATCGATGTGGCAGAAATTGGTAATGGAAGATTATTTCTCTTTAATGACAAGAGATATATGCTTTAGCGAGTCAACCAAGTCATTTGGAGTAATTATAGAACTATGCAATATTTTTAATCTTGCAAAAGTTATTGAGTTTATAATATCATCAATTTGATTTTCTAAAAAGGTATAGCTTTCCATAAGAGATTCACAAATATTTAAAATATCAATTTGTGATTGGAAATAATTTAATTGATCTGAAATGTCCATTATTGATTTTCTTATTTCTTTTATATCATTATTAAAAGTCTCTTCATCGATTTGTAATTTTTGAATTGTAGAATTAAAACTTTTAATTACAGATGTCGTTACAGATATTTGATTTTTTAATAATTTTTCTATTTGATATTCATCTTTAGTTATTTTATTTATACAATCATTATAATATTCACCATCTGAAGCATCTAAATTACCCGTTATCGATTTCCATACTGTCCCAATGCCATTAAATATACCACGCTTTTCTCTATAAATATACTTATTCGTATCGCGTATTATTTCATTATATTTTGTATTAATTGATCTTGATATTTGTAATAAAAGACTTATATGCGTTTTAACTTCTGATTTAAAAGCTATCATTCGTGGTGCATCTTCTTCTAAAGTGTTTAAAATATTATCTAATATTTTATCATTATTTAAAATAGTATTTTTGATTAATTCTAAATCTTTATAAACTAATAGTGTCCATTTATCATTGGATACTTTTATTTGTCCGTCTTCATGTAGGTACACTCCGACTGTATTGTTGATTGGTGTAATAACATACTATCCATACTAAAGTATACTATGGATAGTAGTAATCCAATAAATATGAAAATAAATTATTCGTGATATGGTTTTAATCTATCAAAATTGATTTTAGATGTTTGTTGAGTTTCAGGGTTTAATACAATAGCAGAATTTTGAAAAATTTCTTGAATTTCAAAAGGTCGGTTAAAGATATTTTGATTTTTACTCGTAATTTGTGATTCTTTAACATAGACTTTATCTCCAATATTAAATTCTTGTAACCTTTCAGGTACATTTCTGTCAAAACTGAATTTTTGCTTTCTCTTTATTTAATATAGTTTTTTGTCTAGCTGTTCTATAATAAAACCGCATTCTATTATTTAAGTCTCTAATATATTTAGATATTAATTTCTCTTCATTATATAAAGTTTCAGGTGGTCTTGAAGATGTACGTCCGAAGATTAATTCATATGGAGTAAATCCATGAGTTTTACTTTGAGTATTATTATAACATATAACTGTATAAGGTAAAATATTAAAAGGATGTTCTTGAGGATTCTCTGTTAAATGAGCTCTGATCATTTCACTTAGAGTGGCATGAAATCTTTCTAATGAGCCATTAGATTGAGGATGTCCTACACTTGAAAATGTTAATTTAATGTCATATAATTCACAAAGGTCTTTAATAAGTGTGTTATTAAATTCACGGCCTTGATCACAGTGAATTCTTAAGGGAGTACCATAGTGTTGGAAGAAAACTCGTAAAGTATTTACTATTGTTCTAGCTTGTTTATCACTTATAGGATAAGCTTGTGTAAATTTTGTAAGTTCATCATTAATAGTTAAGGCATAATTTCTAGTGGGATATTCGAATATGTCAATGTTAATACGTTTAAAAGGAGTTTTAGGTGTTTCGGTAATTACTAAAGGTCTGCTTAAATTTTTTCGAGATATTTTAACTTTTTGACAAGTTTCACATTTTTTTAATAAAGTTTTCAACATCTTTAGATAATCCTTGCCAATTATATTTTTGTTTAATACGACGAATAGTTTCATTAATTCCTCGGTGAAAATTACTCTTGCCATTATGACAATGATCTAGTATTTGAGGTTTTTCATCATCTACTGGAATTCTAACAATATTTTGACTAATTGTTAATTTAATTTCTTTATCTGCGAAAATATAAGAAAATATTTCTAATATTGGAAGTTCTATTTGATTTTCAACGTAGTAGGTTTCTGCTAAATTAAATTCATTTTGTTCTTTATATAAAATATAAAATAAAAGAGAAACTACTGTAGTTGGATCAAAATCGAGAGGGATTATATAGTATTTCCTGTTTTTAACAGTTTTACTATTAAAAATATTTATTCTTTTTAAATGAAAGTCTGGATTTTCTTCTAATATGTCGTCAATTATTTTATGATGAAATTCTTGTATTTTATTTTGCCAAAAGAATGTAATTATATTTTTATGTTGTTTATCTAATAATTGATTATTGGTAATATTTATTTTTGAATAATCAATCAATGATTGAGAGTCATATAAAGTGACAAATTTATTATATTCATTTTTAATTCTATCATCGATATCAATATCATTATCAGAATCTTCATTTTCAATTTCTTCATTTTCATTTTCATGTTCACTATCAGGTGTATTTTCGTTTGAGGCAAAAATAGGAAAATTTGTTTTTGAAATAAATTGTGCGCATTTTTTGAAATGATTGATTTTAATTCTAGATAAAGCATCTGCATTTTTATTTGCTTTTCCAGATTTATGAATAATTTTGTAATCATATTCTTCGAGTTTTAAACGCCAACGAGCTAATCTGCTGCCAGGGTCTTTAATAGAAAATAACCATGTTAAAGGGCGATGATCTGTTATTAAAGTAAATTTACGACCAAAAAGATATGGACGAAAATGTTTAACTGCCCATACGATTGCCAAAAGTTCACGCTCTATAGTGGAATATTTTGTTTCAGCGCCGCAAAGGGTTCTAGAAGCAAAAGCAATAGGTAAATCTTTTCCTATGTGTCCTTGTGAAAGAACGGCTCCTATAGCAAAAGCACTAGCATCTGTTGTTAATAGGAAAGGTTCTTCAAAATTTGGATATATCAGAATAGGATTTGAAGTCAAAGAATTCTTTAATTCTTCAAAAGAATCTAGACAATCCTGATTAAAAATAAATGGAACATCTTTTTGCAAAAGTCTTGTTAAAGGCTTTGATAATTTTGCAAAGTTTGAGATAAATCGACGGTAATATCCAGCTAAGCCTAAGAAAGATTTTATTTCTTTCGGATTTTTGGGTTGTGGAAAATTTTGAATACATGAAACTTTTTCTGGATTGGGTTTAACACCTTCTGGAGTTATTAAATGTCCTAAGTATGCAACTTCTTTTTTAAGAAATTCACATTTATCTGGTTGTATTTTAAGATTTGCCTTTTGTAATCTTTGAAAAACTTCTTTAAGTCTGGAAATGTGTTCATGAATAGTTGGAGAATAAATTATTATATCATCCATGTAAACTAAACATCTTTCATTTTGAATTCCTAATAAAATATTGTCCATGACTCGTTGAAAAGTCGAAGGGGCATTTTTAAGTCCGAATGGCATTCTGACAAACTCGTAATGACCATTTTCTACAGAAAAAGCCGTTTTGGAAATATCTGAAGGATTGATTTCAATTTGATGAAATCCTGAAGCAAGGTCAAGTGTTGAGAAATATTCACATTTACCTAACTGATCTAAAATATCGGAAATATTAGGTAAGGGGTACTTATCATCGATTGTAAGTTCATTTAACTTCCTATAATCAATAACAATACGCCATTTCTGTTTTTTAGAAGCATCTAATTTTTTTGGAACAATCCAAACTGGAGAGGACCAAGGAGAAATTGAAGGACGAATAATACGTTGCTTTAACATGTTACTGATTTGTGTTCTAACTTCTTCTTTGTGTATTTGTGGGTATCTGTAAGATTTAGTGTATATTGGTTTAGCATTGTTTGTATCAATTGAGTGTTTAATTTCATTTGTAAAAGTTAAGACATCATTTTCTAAATAGAAAATATCTTGAAATTCGAGACATAAATTAGTTATAAGTTCTTTTTCTTCATCATTTAAATGATCAGTCCTAAGTTGTGATTTTATTGTTTGAATTCTATCAGTTTGATTTGAATTTGGAAAATAATTATTTGTTTGATAATTATTATTTGTTTGATAATTTAAAATTGTTTGTGAAATGTAAGGTTCAATTTGAATATCGGAAAAATTAATTGATTTTGGAATAGCATTACAATTAATTATTGATGTCAAAAATTCTCCATGTTCATTAACATGAACTAACGCATTTGGAATATAAACTTTTTCTTTGTCTTGTTTAGATAAAATTGCATCAGTATTTTGTAAATTACATTTTAATTTAAAAATTTGTTCTGTTCTTCCATTAATATTTATTTCATTTTTAATTTGTTCAGAATTTAAATTTTGTTCTCTCAGTGTATCTTCAATTTTAAATAAAGGCACCGTTTTAAAATTTGTTATCAATTTTCTATTTTTTAAATCAACTGTGCATTGATAATGTTCAAGGAAATCTGATCCTAAGATTCCGTCAAAGTCTATATCTAAGTTGTAAATAAAAACTTTGTGAGGATCATTTGTTTTAAAAGGAATTAAAGTAGACTGAGTTATTAATAATTTCTCGTTAGTAATTCCTTGAATTGAAATATTTTCTGGTATTCTTTGTGGATATTTTTTAACTGTGTTTTCTTTAAAAATTGAAATTCCTGCACCTGTATCAATTAATATTTTGTATGTGTTTGTTATGTCATTAATGTAGTATAAACTTTTAATGTCTACAGTGAAAAAAGGTTTTAAGTAAATTTCTGTTCTTGGGATTGATTCGTATGGTTTAAATTCAAAGTTTGAAAATTCGTTTGAATTTCGTTTGTGTCCGTTTTCTGTGTATCCGGAGGATGGTTTTGGTCGGAACGCAAATGAAAATTTTGCTGTTGAGCATTATCGTAGTTTTGATAGTCATCATATTCTTGCTCAGAGTAATAATTTGAATAATCTTGAGAATTTGGAGAATTATCATAAAAGTAATCATTTGAAAAATTATCAGAATAATTTTCAGAATAATTATTTGAGTAATTATCAGAATAATTGTTTGAATATTCATTTGAATAATCATAAGTTGAATAATCTTGATTTATAAAATGTGCTCTGTGATTATTATTATTAAAATTAGGATTTCTTTGAATTACTGAAGGGCGTTGTTGAATTACTGAAGGGCGTTGTTGATTGTTTGAATTATTTTGTTGAAAATATGGTCTTTGATTAACATTTTGACTTTGTGTAAAATGTTGAGGTTGTCTTTGAAAATTGTTGGTATTTTGTGGGTTAAAATGAGTATAATTATTATTATTCATTTGTCTTGCACGACATAAATCGTCTCTGGATAAATGTCCTAAACGTCCGGAAGATGTACACTTTGGTGGTGGCAAATTTGGTCTTTTAATAGGTCGATTTTGTGGAAATCTAACTGTATTCAATTTATTTTGTTTCTGATTTTCAAAATAAGAAAGTTGTAACTCTCTTCGAATACGAATTTGAGCTTCGATAATGTCTTTTGGATTACTAGCACGAATATGTCCTAAACGTGGGTCTAATCCTGTTAATAATGTATTTAATGCCATAGATTCGAGTAAACAAATTTGTTTACTCGAATCGCTTGTTTTTCATTATTTGTTAAACTGGATTTTTGAATATTTGCATGCATTTTTGCATTAAGAACTTGCACTCTGTTTAAAAATATTAAAGGCGATTCATTTGGTAGTTGTTTAACTCTTTGGAGGTCTTGAATTAATGAAGATAAATCTCTAGTATCACCAAAATGAGAATTTAAAAGTTGTTTAATTTCAAAATACGAAGATGGGTTTCTTGAATTTATTAATTGGGCTGCTCTACCTCTTAGTTTATTTTTAATGTGAATAACTAATAATAGTTTTTGGTTACCGGTTGACATACCAAAAGCACAATCACATGCATTTAGAAATGTTTGTAAAAAGATTTGATCTCCGTCAAACTCTGGTATTATTGAAAATATTTCAGATAGTTTATATGGTTCTATTTCTGGTTCATTATTCATTTCTGATTCAGACATTTTTAATTTTTATTTTTAGTAAATATATATTAATTTTTTTTTTATTTTATTTTATTTTAAATTAAGTAATCGATTAGCAGAATAATCGATTTATTAAAACTTGATTAACTTAGTTAACAGAAAACTAGGTTAAATTAAAATTAAATTAAAATAACCCTTGTTAAATAATCGTATAAGAAAATATCTTATTTTTTTATTTATCGTTTATAAACGTTTAAATAAATTCTTTTTCAAAATAATATTTATTTAATTTTTTTTTAAATAAAAAAAATAACACTAACATAAAACGTAATGATTCGTTGTGTACTTACATTAGTTTTCCAAAAACCATGCTTTTGTCTTGTTCTCACAGGAGTGTTCTACCAGGGGTTTCACTAGGTGTTCCTAATCCGTAGATCTGCCTATGAGTGACGACGCCAGATGTGTTTTTGTCTTCTTTCTTGATTTTTCTTAATTTTCTTGATTTTTCTTAATTTTCTTTCTTGATTTTTCGTAAGTTCTTTCGCTTGAAGGATTGGAATCCACCGTTGGTAGTTAGAATACTCGTGTTCTACCGACGTTTTGTGAATATCCTACCAACTGCGCCAATTGTTAGATTTTATCTTTCACTTTTATTATTTGAAAAAACATTTTTTTTTTACTTAAAAAAACTTTTATTAAGTTTAATAAAGATACAAAATTATTATATGAACTTCGATACGACACGGATACGAGCTGCGTTCGAGAGTTGTTCGAGTTGTGCGTTCGAGTTGTTCGTTGGAGTTGTTCCTCCTGGGAAAGAGATCGGCTTAAATATTCTTAAAGTTGCTGAGTCTTCGCTTCCCATCATGGAACTGCGACTTGTTTACTGAAAAGACCATGGGAACATCGTAGTTGGAAAGATTCTCAGGAAACATAATATGATTGTTTATGAGTTACATTAGAACGAACTTATACGTTTAACTTTGAAATAAACAATGAATAACAATAAATAAGTATAAAGAGTAAATAAGGTCATTTGAAGCAGTTTGAAGGTTAAATATGGATATATAGTCTGTGAAACGAATAACTTTGAATTTGACAGTTCCAGCGGGCTTTTCTAGTGTTAATTTTATTAGGTTAGCAACTTGCGGCCATGCCTTTGAATAAGAAGACTAAGGAAGGAGCATAATGCTATCCATGTACTCATGCATGGTGGGCGGAAAACAGAGATATGGAAGTGGGAGAATGAGCTTCGACGAGTGCGCATCCAAATTTTTGTCGACGGCAAGATGGCAGACATCTTCCAGGTCTCGCTGTCACTTCCCCTCTTTAATTGACATCTGTTTGTTTTTTTTTTCGTTTGTGTTGTTATCTAGTTAAAATTTATTATTATCTCAATTATTCTAAACACTAATTCAAAAAGGCTTGTTGTATATTGTCATAGTTATTCTAAGAAAGCTAATACGCCGGGAAAAATGATTAGTTTTCATGTGTAAGTTTATACAACATAATCGTGTTTACAGATGATCCAAAACTGTTTATTTTTAGTTTTCCTAAAGGCGATTTGTAAAAATCGTGATTGTAATTGGGAATGGTCAAAAATAAGTGTATGATGTGGCCATTAAAGAGGATGTTTTTATTACGTGTGGAGGAAGAAGATACTTGGAATCAATGTTCGTGCTTCTGTAAAACAGTGCACTCTTATAGTGTCCATGAAAGCACAAGTTCAAGTGTACCAGAAATATGTCAAATAAGATTGATCCTTACTTGACAAGAAGATTATTTGGAGGAAAAGAAAACATAAGATAGGGTATTTTGTATAATCGAACAGCGAAAATTTAACATTTTTATTGTAAAGTTTGTTGTAGGTAGTTGTAGTTTTGTGCTAAATATTTCTAACATTAGCTGCAGCAGTGTTCAGAGTGTCAAGAGGAGGAGAATTCAGTTAATTAGATTTATGCACAGTTACAGGTATGAAGGCTTTTTCAAACATAGTATCAAGTTCTATAGTCAACATTTTTAGTATTCCTACAACTGTAAAAACAAAGAACATTGGACTGAAAAAATGGCAAAATTTATATAGGAAGAAAGGGTATATGCCAATAAGAAAATTAAATCTGTAGGCAGAAGTTTCTTATTTAAAAACTGTTATGGGGCATATATTAATTTGTATCTGTGCCACAAATCACTGAGAAAAATCATATAATATTCATAATTGTTAACGAGATGATATTTAAAGAGTGTTAAAAATGAGACTATTAGTCATGAAGCTTACAGTGTTACTTTGTTTCAATATTACACTTTTATTCTTGTAAAATCTATGATGAAGTTCAAAAGCATTTTGCAATGGCCTTAAATTGTGAGTTGTGAGCCAGGATTTATAGTAAAGGTATTTGATGCAATGAAACTTAATCGGTACCTTCCAGTATGTATTTTAGTAAGGGGATTGTCAATCCCATGTTTTTAAATAGATAAAATACAGGCCAAAGTTGACAATATTACAGTTGAGAAGAAACTATTTTATCTTAAAAAAAAATTTCTTAAAATTCTGAGATCATATAATCTAATTTTCTTAATAATAAATTAGGTATATGTACATACAGAATTTTGTTATGGACAAATAAGGATCGACAAGCTTCTTTTGTGCAAAAAATAAATGATTTTTTCTAGTATTACGACAAACCATAATGTGTTTTACAAACTTACCGGTAACAGTTTTTGTTTATAATAAAATATTTAGGAATAATTTGGGTTGTTTATCAATATATTAATGACTTGAATTTTGACAAATCGAATTTGTATCAAAATAATTTTACGAAATATAAAATTGATGTTCTATTACAAGATTGAGTTTTTATTGTCGACAAAAACCAGGATAAATACTAATAATAATACCCTTAATAAAATCAATGATGTTTATGTATTATGAAAATATTTGTTAGAGGACATGTTATGTAACAGTTTTTGAAACATAATTTGAAGGGACGAATAAAAAAAATAAAACAAAAACATATTTTTTCTAGGTTTATATTAAAAATACAAGGTAGGTAATCATCAAAAATAATTATGAACCAAATGTTTTTTATGAATATACAACTTGAACAAAAAGTTGTTTAGAACAATTTTTACCAAATTTGCAAAAATTTTAAATTGAAACGCGTAATTCAGTACAAGTAAACATGAAATATTGTAAATACTTATTTAATATCATTTCGAGTGTTTTACGACGAAAAGGTCATCTGTCCGTAGCGTCTTTTGTCAGAATATTCGTATATTTAGTGTATTATATACCAATATTGTACGCAGTTTTGAAACTGATAATTAAATAAATCATATTAATGTTAACTAACCATAATAAATGATAGAATTTCACTAAATTTAAATTGCCCCCCGTATGGTTGAAAACAGCAAATTGATATTTGATTACTTATAGATTACCACCTATATACAAAATGACACGAAGACCTGGAATATGGCGCCCAACTTGATTAGACCTTCTGCGCATGTTGTGGCGGAAAAGCCACCATAAAAGCTCTCTAGGGTGATCCCCACCCTTGACAGTTCTGTTTGACGATTCATTTGACACATTTGAATTTGATTTGAAATTTTGTAGATTTGTCAGTCTTTACGGAGCTTATTTTATGTTATTTATTATTTATTCTACTACTGATAGTTGTATAAAGGTAGTAAATCTAGATGGAAATTGTGGCAGAACTTAAATTAACAGTGACACTATCGCGATTTATCGAAAAAGACTCTAAAATAGTTGGTTGTGTAGCGTGCGGTAGATCTCGGCAAAAATTGAGTGAAATAATGGAACAACTTTTCGCTAGTAAGTGACTATATAATATACATACGTGTAGTAAACCGATCATTTATGAAATTCACTTAAATTAACTAAATTATATATTTTTCTTGCATTTTAGCTTTTATTTATTACTTGTCAAAGATTAGATGTCAAAGAATTTAGATACGTTAATTTGACTTACCTGCTTCAGTAGCGTATCGGATGTTTGTGTTAATAAATACTTATTATAACTTATCTATTTTTATTAGAATTATATATTTTTATAACAATTTTAATAACTACCAACATTTATTCACAACGTAAAAAAAACAACAAATTATTGAGTCTACCCCACGTCTACCCTACATCATAGTTTTACATTTTTTAAATAAAATTAGAACGACACTGATAAACCGGAATTTAAGTCGGCCATATTTGAGGCCCATCGCGGTGTACCTAAGATTTTTGATATGCTCCTTCCTTAGTCTTCTTATTCAAATGGCCATGATGTCGCAATGCTGTCTCTAATAGAACAGCCTCGTAGAGAGATTTATGACGTCACGCTAGTTAGATACTACGGATTAATAAATATGTATTAATTAATATATGTTACTGTAAATGTCCGAAATGCGGCAAAAAACCTAGGATAAACGCGCTAAACCTAGGATTTACCAAAAGCATTAACTAATTAGGTTAGCCTGGTTATTTGGAGGGTGTTAATGCATTGGTTAGCCTGGTTATTTGGAGGGTCTTAATGCATTGCTTAGCCTGGTTATTTGGGGGGT